TTCTCATACTTAAAAAATTCTACCACACAAAGGGTCCAGAATTTTTTATGACCCAACCTCCTTATGAATTTAGGGTCATAATCCGCTTTGGTATCCAGAAATAGAGTGCTTCATGCACTCTACAAGTTTACACCTGTCTCATCTTCAAAGAACATTATTCCACACAACCAGCTACATACAGCAGACACATGTGGAAAGTAGATTTGTTAAATGAGCTTCCCCAGCATTTTAGGACCAGCCCTTTTCAGGAGCCAGGAGATTGTAATTCAAAATCATATTCCAAAGAGCAGTCTCTTGACCAGAAGCCTCAGCACCAACTTGAGAGCTTGTTAGAAATGCAAAATCATACCCCAGACCTACTGTTTTCTGAGTTTGCTGTATTATTTGAGAATTACTGAGAATATTAAATTCTGTTATAAAGGTTGAGAAACTCATAAGCAGTGATAATGTTTGATTATTTCATAAACTAGAAGCTTATGAAAGAGGCAACACCCAGAGGCTCGATTAAGTACAAGTAATAAAAGCTTGTAAGAGCAAGGCAAAATTCATAAGATATGTTAAAAATAAGTAAGTTAGTAACCTGTACGACATGTCAAAATAGAAAATAATGGTGGAACAAACAGGTTTATTTGTAAATAGAAAGAGGTGGAAAGATCAAGTCATCATCATGCCATCTCTGGACTGACAACTATGTCTTCTCCATTTCGGCCACACACCGAGGACACTCAGTATGGTCCTATCCTGGACTCAAAGGTGCTCTACCCAAGAAATGCAAATAAAACCCATGGCTCATCAGCAGGCAACCGGGCAAATCTACAGCTATATCTAAGTGTACTTGTCCCCACTCTGCTTTAGAGCAAGGATGTGTCATTAGCCCAGAGCATTAGTCGGTGTAGTCCTTGCTCAAACATCAACTTTAGTCCCCATAACCACACCATCAATGGGGAAGGCTGATGTGAAGGAGAAATAGGACACATGGATACGGTGTACCCAAGACTCAAGGAGTGGGTCCTTCCAAACTTGTTAGCACTGTAAGTACCTTAACTTACTCCGTGGCTTTCCTCTTGCTTCTGGCTGCGGGTTTTAAACTGAGTTGATAAATCGGGTGATTTGAGCATTTTAATTTGGTTGCTGAACCTGTCTATGCCATAACCTCTGAAATAGCTGCTAATATACTTGGAGGCTAACCATTGCATCAACGTAACTGCCCACAAAACACCTACTGAATCACAAATCCACATTTTAAAAGATCCCCAGTAGATTCATATGCATATTAAGTTTAAGAAGCACTGAGCAAGGCTGTTAGATAGAAAAAGTTCCACAGAGACAAAAATTGGGATCTCAGAACTATGCTCTGACACCATCCTGAATAAAAGGCCGTGTGTACCCCCTGACAACTCAGGGCCCCAAATGAGGGAGAAAACGCTAAGGGAACCATTTTCAACAACTAGCATGTAGGGGTTAGAGCAACACTGCTGTCCTGGGCAATCCTCCTTTGAACGCAGCTCTGCAAAGCTCTATACAGTTTGAGGAAACAGGAAAGTATAGCACAATACACCTCAACATTAACCCTGCAATCTCCTTCTTGCTGGGAATTAGGAAAATACCCTTTTTCAGACACACTATGTGTCAAGAACACTAATCCAAATGGCATAAGGCTACCATAAACAGAGAAAGGAGTACAACTTCCTCAGTAAACTTGCAGTGACCTTAGGAAGATCATCTGAGAACAGATCTCTAATGGGCTGTACACCTCCCACCTATCAGCAGTTTCTGACTTGATCGGCTCCTGTCATTTTATGTATTTATTACATTTGCACTGTTCCTGACATATAGTAAAGGTTCAGTAAATGTTCTGAATTAACAGGAAAAAGAATGAAAAAAATGTCACCCTTTCTATCCTTGATTTAGCCAGAACAAATTTAGTTAATTCAACCTCCTGGTTTTGACAAATTCCTGAGAATGAGCACAGTTCATAACACTCCTTCACTCCACATCTCAAAGTTGGATTTTCAATTTTCTATTATTAATCCCATTATCACCTTCCAGGACACTATGAAACACATTAACCTATCCATTAAGAAACAGTCCAACCACTTCTAAAAGTCACCAACAATTATGTATAAGGAATATGCTGTGATTCGGATGATCAGCTATGATTTGGATGATTTTCTAAGTCCAGATTGAAGATCAGATTTAAGATCAAGGGAAATATCTATCTAAAGCATCTACGGGAGAATTGAAATAGAAACTTTGGACATCACATACACAGAGATCATAAACAAGATCTACAGCAAGACGCTAAAGGTGTTGAGAATTTTTACACTAGTGAAGAATCAGATGAGAGTTTCAGGAAAAGTATGTGAAAGTTCTAAAGATCATTTCTGTAAGGAATATGCTTCCTATTGCTTCTGAAAGGAGGAGTGTGTTTAAATTTCAAAGGAAAATATTTCGGTTAGAAATCGTAACTTCCCATTCTACAAATAATGCTTTATAAAAAGAATAAAGGAACACACATATGGAATAGCTGAGTGTATTCCCTTCTAAATAATCGACTGGGTCCTGTTCGCTCCATGCACCTAGTACAGCCAAGGACAGTCAGAGTGGTCATTAGACACTTAGGCACAAGTTCTTAGACTGTTACATGGGTTTTAAATACTGTGTGTTTAAGAATTGACTCTACAAGCTCACAGAGGAAAGACATAACCTTATAAGTTTTTTTGTTTTCCTGCAGCTAACAGCATGAGAATACACAAATGATAAGCCTTCAATAAATACTTACTGAATTTAATTAAGTACTACCACTCTCTGAGGCAAAAATCTCAATTGGAGATTAATCTAAACACTACCAGCATTGCCAGCACCCAGTAGAAAAGTAGCTCTCGAAATTTCCAAGTGAATCCACTCTCATGTTAAACAATGGGAACAAGAAAGAGTGTCTTATTCATTACAAAGGGCAAAGAATTAATCTTCTGTTTGCAAAGTTAATTCACTCCAACTAGTACTGTTAACTGCCCACTAAAACGCAGGGCATTATATCTCTGCTTCACAAATCTTTTGCTTGATCTATGTTCTCAATGAAATGTGTTAAACTTAAATGTATGTAATCTGTTTCATTCTTTGTTATATGAAATATACAGTATCTTTATTGTTTGAAAATTAAAAGGCAAACTGCTTACTAGTATAAGCAATAGTAGAAAAAAAAGTCATTTGAATTTCAAAATATCATACCCCAAAACTGGTTTGATCACATAAGAACAGCCATATTTCAATGATAAATCCTTTAAAATTCATTAAACCCATTACTGTGTAGTTATATTTTGGGCAGCACAGAACCCAAATATATAGTTGGTGCCCCATTTGGCCGAGTAGGTAGCATTCTACTTGGTAACTTCCATAAGCTGCTAGCTCCCATTAGGGAGTCAGTCACTGGTTTTAACAAACTCCTTGAAGAGTTCATTTCAGTTATCCTTGCCTTGCTCGATGTGACACAATTGAATCTTACTGCTTCCTAAGGGGTGGAAAGATGACCTTCAAATGGGAGAGCTTGCAAAGGACACAGGAACTGTCAAATTCAGGAGCTCACTGAACAGGCCCATATAGGGCTCACTAAAGAGAGTGCCTGGAATTGGGGGGCAGTGGGAAGAATAACAAAGGAAAGAGGCGAAGCACAGAGAAGAAACGTAGCTGAGTCAGAAAATAGACATGAATCTCTAGTTTACACACAGCTGAACTTGACATGGCCATTCTTATCCAGAACTTTTGCCTTACACTAATGAAAGTTTCCTGGCTAACACCTGTAGACATTGTCACAGATTTTAACTTTATTTCAAAACAGTATTGCATCATTAAAGCAAGGTCAGATATCTCTTTGCTGTGTAAACTACACATCTTACAGCCTTCTATGGGAGTTTCATAAAACGGAAATGACAATAGACAGTGATTTGAGATTTTTGAGGAGAAAACTTAAAAGGATACCCTGTCAAATTCCAAACCTATTATACATACACTGTGGAAGCTAGAAGCCCTAGAAAGTGGTTTCAAACTACACATTCTGCCAGTGCAGCACGCCAGATTCCCCTACGAGGGCATGCCAGAGTCTTGGGATGGGGCTGGTGGCAAGTACACTCTGAAACAGCACTTGGCTCCGGGAGATTCTGACACTCAACCCCCTGCCCCTGTTGCCATTACCAGCTAATAATATTTCACCACCCGCTGCTGATGAGCCCTCTGCTGTTCCTCTCTACCAAACGTGAGCTAAGTGAAGTCGTTAGAAAAGAGCATCCGAATTCTGTTGGCATTTATCCAGTTTTTAAGAGGTAAAAATAAATATCTATGAATGGCAAATCAATTTAACTTCCTTTCACAAAATTTCATTTCAAAGCTACAGATCAAATTCTGAACGCAAAGCTATTTACAGTCACAGCTTTCCAATTAAAGTACTTAAGTCCGCTAATAATATTTCCATGAATCAAACTTTCACTACCAAGTAGCAGAAAGAAAAAAAAAAGTTCCAACATTCCTCACAATCCACTTACACTTAAGTAAGGGATAACTCAGATTTTTTAAAGCAAGGAAATAAAGAATATTATTTCAAGCTCACCATAACTCTCCCTTTTGTGCATTATACTTGACGTCCAGTGTTTAGATTCGGGAAATGTTATTCCTTGGGGGTAATTTTAGGTAAAACTTGTTACAGAAGTAATTCTACTTCAGACTAACACTCCTGATTTTCAGTGTTCATATAATTCACCATCTAGTCCATTGGAAAGTATCTCACAATCCCCAAACTTCTTCAACTTCAATATTATTCAGTACTGGCTTCCGCAACTCTAAAGCACATTAGGAAATATGATGACTATTTCCCACACTCCAAACTTTTAAAATCAACTGACGACATGTGTATATCAACCACCTTGAATTTCTCTGCATACAGTTAAGCCCAAATACTAATGAAGCTTAGAAAAAACGTGGAAGACAAACCGAGAAAACATACTTACCTTAATTGGAGCACTACTAAACTTAATTTTCCTATTTGCTGGGACTTCTTCTTCTTCTGGCAACCCAACGATTTCCGAGTATTCCATGTCAGGTTGGTAGTAACTGTTTTCATCACTGTCTTCCTGCTCCTCCTGCTCAGTGCCTGTCTCTCCCCAGTCGGAATTATACCTGGATCTCACCCTATATACATTATAGTCACTGTGCATGTAAACCTGGGGACTCTCAATATTATTTGAATCTTTGGATCCTTCCTTGCCACAAATGGATCCAGAAGCATCAGCAGAGATGAAATCACCACCTCCCAGTTCTTTCTTCTGTGGCATTGCTGCCTCATTCCCAACCAAATTAGCTTTGGCATCTCCTAAAGGTTCACTCTGCGGTGAGAGGATGTCAGACTCTGGCATTGCCTTACTCTCAGCACAAGGTTCTTCCCGAACGTCTCTGTCGCCTCTGCCAGGAGTCTCTTGGTTAGGTGTGGAGTCCCCGGCTTCCTTACTCTGCTGTGCCTCTTCACCAGGCATGGAAGCTAGAGAGGTGCCTTGCGATGCCACTTCTGGTACTGGGGACGTGGTCCTCTTCCGAGCATCCTCTGCATCTTCACCATGTTTGCTTGGGGGAGACCAAGCATCAGAATCCTTAAGACGACCGAAGGTGTCAAGATTTGTAACAGTCACAGCTGGTAAATTCAGAGGATAATGTCCAGTGACCGAGTACTCGTTTTCGGCCTTCTCCGACACGACGGAACTGGGGGAATCGGTGTTCTCAAACACCGCACTCAGCTGGCTCACCGTCGGGGAGACAGCCTCGGTGCGGGAGCTAAGGCTGTCCAAGGAATCGGTGCTGCCTCTGTTGGACTTCGAGCTGCCCCAGTCATCCTGAGCCTCACTCCCCCCAGCTTTCTCTTTCTTTGGGGAGTAACGGTTGTTCTGTCCTGACTCGGGCACGCTTCTCTCAAACAACTTCCGAGTTTCTGTGAACTTAGAATACGAAGGGCCATCGTGCATGGTATCAAATCTACTGATCCGTTCCGAAACAGAGGACTCCAACTTAACCACCGAGCCATCTGTTCTCTCCAGAAATTCTCTGGGCCGCATTCTTCTCTGAGGGGACGAAGGTCCACCTTTCCCCCTTGTTCTGGCGATGACAGCGGAGTTCTCACTGGGCTCCATACCCATCTGCATAAACAGGTTTTTAATTCTGTTGACGTTGGAGCCATATTTCCTCCCCCTGTTCTGCTGGGAGCCCTCGCCTTCCTTTGTTTTCTGTTCGCCATCTGACTTGGGTTTGTCAAAGGTACTTTTCAGTGCCTGGAACTCAGTTCTATATGCATTCCTGTGAGGAGAGGCACTTCTGAGAGTGGTCCGTTCGCCTGAAGACTCGGTTTTCAACATTTTAATTTCAGGATGAAAAGCCAATGTTCATAATGATCAGGGAAGAAAACCCAAAAAATAAAAACACCTCTCTTCTCTGATCACCAGTATTTGATCAAGAAAAAGTACCTCTCAAATGGCATACTGTGTCAGTGATCCTCGCAACAGGTGTATTAGGAAATTATTCAGTCAAGAGTTACACAAAATGGCTTTTTCAAAGCAAGACTAGAGGTTCATCTGTAATAGAAAAGAATGAATTTCTGAATTCATTTACTTATTTGAACTTATGTTTACTCAACTAACATATATTTTTCCTTTCAAAGTGGCATCAAACAGGAAATCACTTACTGAAGCTGGAATTAAAAGCCAAGGCTTTAAAAGTTATAACTCTAACTGGTCTTTAGTAACAAAATGTTTCAAACAGAATTTGGAGATCTCTACCAAAATCATACACATACACACATACAAGTTAAGCACACTTGAAAGCAATACTTTGGCCCAAGTTTTGGTTGCTTTTGTGAAACACCTTAAAAGAAATGAGCAGGTCATACATCTTTAAGAAATCATCAAACTGTCCAGAAAAATGAACTTCATTCGGGACTCTCCACACCAGATAAAAACTTATTCTTTCTGTTTAAACACAAAAGTTTGGAATCTGTGTTTGCAAACTCCAAGACATGCCTATAGAGGCTTATTTCCCTCTTTCTGGTCAGTGTTCTCACTTACAGCATCCCCAAAGCAACACTGGTACAATTTCAGACCAAAAACAAGCAGAACAAAGTTCTTAAATGGCAGTTAAGTTTCACTCTCACTCCAGTTATAACGAATATTTGGAAGTTTCCTAAGAGTGGATATTATTAATTACAGAGAGGGATGTAGGATGTCACGGGAATAAAAGCATGAGAATGTGACGATCAGAAAGCAAATGTACCGTGAAACCTCTAGTTAACAGCCCTGATTTGTTTGGTTCCGACTTCCCCCTAACTTACTACAAGCTCGAAATGCAACGCAATGCAGGCTTGCTGGTTCCCCCGGAGCCCGCAGCTGGATTTTACATCAACAGGCCCGCAATAAACACTTCAAGACCTTCTGAGGAGCAGACAAGGTAGTTCTAAAGATTTTTCATTTGGTTTTGGTTTTGGTTGTTAGTATCAGGCCAAGCTACATGAGCCTCACGCACCATCCGCTGAGGAAACACACACTTTCCCTGAAATCGTCGCCCAGCTCGGCTCCTGGCCCCACACGCATGCATGGCCCATGCAGACAAACAAGAAAGGCTTCGGAGCGTGGAGCCGGTTTCGGTCAGGCATCGATCATCTTCTCCCCTGACATTGGCCTCCGCCTGGCGCGCCCTCCCCTCCCCCCTCCCCAGCCCTCCCTCC